TTAGTCTTTCCGCGGGATGTGCTCCTCTGCACTCCTTATTTTCGATCGGACATATTTATTTTGAATTTCTATTGTCCGATGAAGCAGTAAAGAGCATCTATGGTCAGTATGGTTATAAGTTTTTTTTTTCGGACTAATCTAATGCTGGTGGCTGTAGCTGGCCTTTACAGCTTCACCGGACGATAGGGGGGGCGAGTGCGAATGGCACTCCAAATCCGCGGGAGGACTTATGGAATGGCTGAAGGCCAACTCCCACCTGACGGAAACGACTTTAGTCTGTGGCCACCGCTAGGGGTTCAAACCTCGGCTCAGGCTGTCGTAATGTCAATTCCCGTTTGAATTGGAGTTTTATAAGTGTACCTTTAAAGTACAGCTCGATTTTCATTTCCTGATCACACCTAAAATTCGTGTATTCGACCACGTAGCGTATGAGTATGTATCGTGGCGTCATATTATGTTGTAATGGTAATCATTCCTGTAATATGGTAATATCGGTGCTCGCCCATGGGCCGTGCCTCTTGCTGGAGATTGCTCTCGGCGGACCTGTGGCGTGCATAGACCACTTACAATTCATAGACACGGCAATTGGAGAATTATCAGTATATATTTTATAGAAATCACTAGCTGTTTCTGCGACTTCGTTTATACGGAATATTTTTTTAATATTCAAATAAAAGAAGCTTTTACTTCTTATAAATTTAGTTATCTGTGTGTAAAAGTCAAAATCAATCCAGCCGTTTCAAAGGGTATTAAAGAACAAACAGATAAACAGACAAATTTATTTTAAATATTTTTTTTTGATGTGAATACGTATATTTTAATATGAATTTAGTGAAAATTTGTAATTACTTTAAGTTAGTTAAAATTTTTCATTTCATTTAATTAATTCGTGAGTACTTTTGACTGTCTATACAGTTCCAAATTATTTTCAAGTAATAGGAACTATAATAATAGATCTATAAATTATGGGATCATATGAGTTCTTTGTATTGGAGATTAGTTGTCCAACAGATACTATATATTTTTTAATATTATAATTTTAAATGTAACTTTTTGTATTGCATAAATAATAGATTTACAAAAAAAACTATTTAGTCAAATACTTGTATATGAATTAATACTTGCGTAAAATAAAACATAAAAGCAAATTTTATATTATAATTAAATTACAAATTATACTAACATTACATTAGGAAAATTGTTACTAAAAACTGGCTCTATGATGACATAAAAACATATTTATTATTTAAAAAACATACATGTATGTATCTATGAAGTTTCATAAAATAGTTATAGCTTTTTCTCACCATTTCTTTAATATAATTTTCTTCATACAAGTTATGTGTTAGAGAATATTATTACGAAGAGTGAATTTCTGTTGCTCACTGTCAGACTAATTGCAAACATTGTTGTTTTTCGACAATACCACGTCCGGACACGTCCCAAATTACACGAAAGCACCACAATGGGCCCCAGATAATGCTATAACAATTGCCGGCTCTGTCCGTCTCTCTAAGCGGCAGCAGGCGTGAGGTATCTCAGGAATTTTAATCGCATCGAAGCCTTCCAGCTCGGTTTGAACGCAATAAAAACAAAAACCGAGGACAGGTTGAATTTCGTATATGAACCATCTAGGCTCGACCTTCGGGCTTTTGTTTCAATGTACACTGTAATAATGAGTTTTTCCTATCGGTTGTTTGAAGTTACTGGTTAATATTGTCAGAGATGTACTCAAGATTTTATGTTGCAACTATAACTATATGTTTGGTAGTAGGTTTAAGTATATTACATAATGATTATACATTTGTAAACATCTAGGTATGAGTGTACAGATGTTATTTATATATTTTGAGTGCTCACATGCAAGTCAGATCGTTATGTAGGTTACATAAATTATTGATAATTAAAAAAAATGTCACAAATAGGCCATATAATTCGTGACAAATTTAGTATGCAACCAATATGGAAGTAAACCCTGTGAATTGTAAAAAGAAACGTCAAAAGCGGTTTAGATTTATGAAATATATGACTTAATAACAACAGTGTAGTAATCAACCCAGGCATACTACAGGAATATTACATAATTGATTAGAAAACGAAATAAAAAGTGAAACGAAAAAAAATATACATTTTAGAGGGAAAACTCGACTATACCGACCGTATACAGCAGATAGGCAACAAGAAGAAAAAGACTCGAAATTAGTTCCGTAGATGCACGAGTGTGACAGAGATGGAAGATGAGTATGTTAGAAAGGGATGGATGCTCGGTTGAGTGAGTCGAAAAGCAACCGGTCTAAGGGGAGGCAGATGCTCTTAAAACCCCCACGGCAAACTACAGATTCCAACAATAAGAAAATAATTATTAAAAACAATTCAGTTCCCTCCAATAAATATCCGGTAGAGACAATCTAGAAGGGACTATAAGTTGCTCACAAACAATTATTTATGGCCGTTTCTTGTCTAGTATTAATAATAGCAAATACCACTGCATCGCTCACACACAACATATTCTGATCTCGTAGATGTTTAAAAAAATATCTTTGTAGATAGACAGAGATCGTTTAATAATGACCCTAAAAAGTGGAACATTTATCATACTTTGAGGTACTACGCTGGTCAGTTTGGTATAAGATATTATTTAGAGTTCTCTCTCTTGTACCCAAGTTTAGAATTTATAGAGTTCGGTTGGTTCTGCCTCGTGTTATTTATTAGGTCATTTAGTTATTTTTTTATATAGATATAAAGTTTACAAAGAGGAAATACTTGTTTTTTGATAATATTATAAACTTTTTTCTTTATCAACTTAATATAACTTTATATCCTATACGAATTTATATCCTCAAGAGATCTACTTCAATTGAAAAAAAACTGCCTAACATTCACTCTTATATCTTATTACTCTTATAAATGTTTTGCTTTTGCTTGTAATAGTTAATATATAGAAAGATCAATTAACTGCAAGTTACATGGGCTATATTTTACAATAATGTTAGAAATTCCTTCAATAACTGCATTCGAATACGGTTGTCTCTGGTACGTAATGTGTATTAAAACTGAATATATCGCGCTATCTGTAGTCATTTTTAGTACATTTCAAATTGTTAACAACATCATAAAAAGCTTTAACTACATGCACGGCTACGTTGAACGTTTCATTTCATTCGGCAATCGCAGAAACATTCCTCATGTTATTTTCGTCATTACCTGAAAAATTACCAGCGTTAGCAAAAAACATACTATTAGTCTCACATACCAGTGTAAGGAATGTAGGCAACGGGCCAAATTACTCTAGCCGTTGAATAGTATAATGTTTGTGAATCAAGTTTTAACGTATTTGGTTGTATCAACTGTTTTGTTATGCTTGGAGACAGTGTGTCTGTTCATTGACTGTTGCTTCCATTAAAACATGGTTAAACAGACTTCAAAAGAATAGAATAGAAGTAATGTCGAACCTAATTTTAAGCGCTTCTGAATAGTAATTTTGTGTTGCTACCGGCTATTTGGTATGCAGATTTAGATAAGATCAAGATTGCTGTTGCGCTTCTCAATATAAAAATACAAGCTGACCCCGCAAAAGTTGTATTGCCATATAAATTAAAATCGTTATTGAAAAATTGAGGGAGGGAGGGAAAGGGATTGATGGTAGACGAGCGAAAATTTAGAGTTGTATGTATTTTTTAATGCCACAATATAAAAAAAAAATTACTTACTCTTATCATTTAGGGGTATGAAAAATAGATAGTAGCCGATTCCCAGATCTACTGCATATATATAAGAAGTAAAACTTATTACATGAAATATAAAACGACACTAACTATATCCCACGGAACTACCATAGTTAATTCAGGTAAAAATAGGATTACAAATAGGACGTTAAATTAGAATCTGACATATATAAAAAGAAGCTTACACATGTTATGTAAGTAACCAATGTACAGAAATACATACTTTGTCATTTGTAATATTAGTAGCATTTAAATGAGTTTTTTTTTAATCCAAACAGTTTCTTTCTCTCTACTCCGTTTACTTTTGTTGTTTTTGTTGGCTCTGCTTTTCGTTTTATACAACATTGGAGTAAATTTTTTCCTGTTAACCGTATGCGATAATTTTTTGTTTTGTAGAGTAATATTTTAGCATGATGTACTTACTTCTAGTAATGTTTGTTCTAATTGCATATCATTGCTAGAATGCCAAATGTCAATGAACTCCTTATCTACCATGTTTTCGTGTGTATTTAAAGGTTAAGTGTAATCACGTCTGCAACTCGATTCTCTGTGTGTGCACATATGTGTGATTGAACAGTAAGGAACGTTTCTTAATTTCACACATTTGTACATAATTTTTTTTTTTTATACGTCGTGAATTTTTTTTAATTTGGAATATGTTGCCAGTACTTTATATATTTTTTATCTTAAAGTTTACGTTCACCACATTTGATGTAGGTAAGCTACTTGAGTTTTAAGGGCTCAGTGGATTCAGTACAAAACATTTGTAAGTCGTCCCGGACGGGATTGCAAATGCGTGTAAAGGAATTCCGGAACAAAAATGCGCACGTCTACCTGCACAGTGGCACCAGATGCGCGTCCCCGCCTCTCCGTACAACCCTCAACCCCGCGCGCATTCCACCATTAAACGCGTAAATTGATTACGTGGAAAATCTGAGAAAATCGCACGTTAACTATGCGCAGACGCCGCCATGCCAATCTGCCGCCACATGTGCAATTGCCGCCTTTTTTACTCCAAGCGCTGTCGCTGTCGCCTCGGACTTGTATGATGCGATAAAATGTTTATTATCGCTCAAAGTCCCGTTTAAACTATGGCCTTCAAATTATGAGGTATGACTTCCTATTATGGAACTAACATTGAATAATTCAGTAAATGCACATTCGACTTGTAATGCGGTGAACGATTCGCGTGCAGGAGTCTGGAAGGTCACAGAGGGTCCGTTACCGGCACATCAGCGAGGCGAGCGTTTCGATTCGACGAACTTATTACGACAGATGGCCGCGGCCGAGGGAGCGGGCGCGGACCCGGCCCTTGGAAGAGATCGACCTCCGAAATGCGCCCGAGATTGCATTCTTTCGGCGGCGCGGGCGCATTCCACAGCGCGCCATCCGAGCTCCGCGCGCCCGCGCCAGTCGACGCGCGCCCTTTTGGGGGTTAAGATGTGTCCGTCGCGGCGGGCGCTCACGATGTGGTCCCAGCCGCCTCCCCCGGAACCAGAGTCCGATCCGCCGACGTTCCGCGCTCGCGCAGCCTCCGCTGGTGCTCACTCGTGGTGCCGGGGCTGCTTCGGCACCCGTCAGCTCGCTCGCATGGTACGAGAGCCCCTCGAATACGGGGTCCGCGTCGACCCGACCTCCGCCCGGCCGGCCGGCTTGATGGTCCGCGATGAACCCCAGTACCAGAATCTGGAGGCGCTCCGCAAGCGCCCCGAGTACGCCAACCTCGACGAGATCAGTCGCGAGTTCGGTTACCGGTTATGTCCGGAAGGACAGAATTTGGAAGACGAGGCTATTTATGAGAACATATTGTCTGTGCGCCAGATTCGTTCTGCGGAAGTGCGTTTAGTGCCAGTGTCTGAAGTGGCTTACTACGAAGGCCAAGGTTACGTGGCTACGCAGGTGTTGAGCAGAAATGGGACCTTTCCACAATGTCCACCGAACACTTGGAGTCGTTTGCAGCACGCGTGCAGGATGACTGGATCGTTGAAAGTGTTTACAGTAAATAACCATATTTTTATAGAATTTATTAATATTTTCTTCCAATTTAATTAATGCCTATCACGATCGACGGTGCTTATAACTAAGTTTAGGAGTTACAGTCGCAAGGGATATTATTTCTATCATAATTTAGTGACATGTACATATATATATTAAAATTATTTTACATTTAAAAAAGAAGAAAATTAAAGATTTAAGATTATAAAATTACTATTTAATTTACGTATATGTGTTAAGTTCAAATAAAATAAATATTGGACACTTGGTTCTTCTGCCTGCCGCATAAAAGATATAGCGCAAAATTATTTTGTGCCAGTGTTTCTAACACGATAATATAGTTCATCATATTATATATATATTTTTTTAAGCGATTTAATTTTAGGTTCTTAGTTGTACAATTAGGTTATGTAAATACTAGTAATAAATTTAAATTAATATATTGTAATAATATATAATATTGAAATATATAGTTCTATGTATAATGTAATTCTCTTTTGAAAACTAGCCTGCCTTAAAAAAGATCTCAACGATTTCGAATTTTATATTTAATCAAAACTTGATGCGCCATTTAAATTTTGTATTATCTCTCCGTAGACATTAAACACCGTTAACAAATGTAATTAATCCGAGTGAGTAAGCAAAATTAGAGCAAGTCAAGTGTAACACAATACTACAATAACGGTAACAATCAACAAAATGCCTCTGACTAACCCTTTTTTGAGTTAACAACCGTGGAGGAGGATTCTGAATTTGTATGTATTTTTTGTATGCATGCTACACGATATCTACGTCAATACCAACGTAAATTTTGATGATTCATTTTGAATTCGATAGGTTACTCCCGTTTAAGTTACTATAATCCTTTATGGAATAAAGGAATTACGTTTAACCGAATTTAAAAAGAAGGATATTCGGATATATTTTTGGTGTTCGTTACACACCCGAGAAGCCTGGTCCATTGGTTATAACAACATAAGAAATGCGAAAATCTTTAGATAGATAGAATATACTTTATTTCTAACACACAGTAAAGAAAAAGGCATAAACAATATATTAAAGCACAACATGTATAGTTATAATAAGGCGGCCTTATTGCTGAAAGCAATCTTTTCAAGGCAACCTTAGGGAAACGGATTGAAAAATGAACAGGTAGATAATATGCATACAGGAGAAAACTAAAAAAATAACAAACATATATTGATGAAGGAAAATAATAAGTATAATATGAATTTCAAATTTATGTAAACAATAATAATTATATATGTATTAAACTAGATACACTTACATGAACTACATACATATTATAAACTACATACATAATTTTAAAGTAAAATAATCTTTCTATCTAGTTTTATTTAATACAGATTATTATTCGGCACGAACATGGCATATTTTATTATCCAAATAGAAGCAGATATAATCGTAGCTAAATAGTTAGTAATTTATAATAATTTTACAAATATTATAAATATAACAAACGTAAGTTTAGATGTATGGATGTTAGTTACTCTTTCACACAGAAACTACTAAACGGATTTCAATGAAACTTTACATATTTATACATCAGAATAATAGATGGGCTATAAATTACACGCAATGCAATTTATAAAAATGCATTATTGTACAAAACTGTACGGATTAAATAAAACAGGATGTTACTAAATAATCTGCTAGAGTAGGTACCTACATATAACAGAGGAGTTTTTACACGGATTCCGTGCCAAAAATGATTAGGTATTCGTGTAATACTGTACTTGTGGCTGCCGCAAAAACCTCGCTGTGGAATTTTGCTCCGATGATCTGTTAATTTGGTAGTGACGCGTTGAATTTCGTATGTCGGTGTGAAATACGGTAACCCGACTGAAATGTGTTTCCTTACGCTTCTTTAATATATATATTTTATACTAAATTCATCACGTGACTGTACAATTGGTTAGGTTTGAAATGTTGGTTTTATACTGGTGACACTCTTCGCATTGGTATTTATATCATACTACACGATATCTTAAAGAATTATACATAACTAGCTGTCTCGTGTAACTTCGTATGCATTACTACTTGATAATTGTCATTATATTTTTCATTTACATAATTAAAAACACTCCCAATTTACATATTATACTTTTAAATTATAGCCCATGTGAATTCTGGTGTATAATCTAAATTACTGTGAATTTTCATCAAAATCTGTTCAGTAGTAGCGTGAAAGAGTAACACACATACATCCAAACTCACAAACACAGAAACTTTCGCGTTTATAATATTAGTAAGATATTGTAATAAAAATATCCCTGGACAATTCACACAGCGCCATCTAGTCCCAACTAAGCAGAACTTGTGTTATAGGTACTAGACAATTTATATAAATATGTATATAGATTTTTTTGTAAATACATACAAAATATATAGAGAAAATATCTAGATCTACATAAACAATTATTTATGAATACAAATGTTAGTCCCGTGCGAGAAAATCAAACCTGCGACTATCAGAAGTAAAGCGGTGTGCCTATACATAAGCAACAGAGTCAATTCTGATGACTATGTAAAACTTCCTCAGAATTGACTCTGAAACATAGATCCGGCGGGAGATTGTCTTTTATAATATGTATCTATGGTTTTTCGCTTCATTGGTTTTTGTCATGATGACGTATGTATGTCTTTTGCGACCAACATTATACATATATGGCATGCCTATATTTAACTTGGTTTATTCTGTTTTGTTAACGGTGTTTCCATCACCAAGGAATCAGGTACAAATTGACAAATTTAATTATCGTGGTCCAGGTTTGAACTGATTATCTTTCGGTTTAATTTGGGGTAGTAAACCACTGAGCCATGACGTTCTCTTGTCCTTTATATTGTTTTATTACAAATGAGTTAGAAATACAAATTTGATATAGATTTTTTTTATTATCAGGCTTACGCTCTCTGGGTAGCAAGCCACTGAGCCACAGTGTCCTCTCGTCCTCTATATTGTTTTATTACTACAAATACATTATGTTCTGGTAATATCTTTCAACTTGCTGTTTATCTTTCGCGTTGCCATTTATTTTACGGCTTGTTAAATATTATGTTAGGTCGACATTGAATTGTTAGTTCTTTGCAATTAAAACTAATTTTTACACACAACCTCGTCCGCGATGTACATACTAATATTATAGATACGAAACTGTCTGTCAGTTTGTTACCAAAGTTAATCTATAATAATAATAATAATATCTATAAACAATTCGTACATCGGTATCTATTGAGAATAGGTAGGCAGAGCTGGTGTTATGGGTACTAGACAACTGTTATAAATACTTAGATACATTTTTTTTGTAACATACATAATATACATAGAAAATACACAAATCGATACAAACAATCATACTTATGAATACCAATGTTCGTACCATATGAGGACTCTAACCCGACCATTGCAAGTAAAGCCGTGTGCTAAACCGCTAGATCACCGATAGCGTCAATACTACATTATGTAATATTCTCGTTAAATATTATAAAAAGAAAAGATTTGTGTTTGCTAATTTTGTTAGTAAAGATACCTACTTAAAAGATTTTAGAAATATTTCACCTACGTATTTATGGAGAGGATATATTATGTGCGAGTAACACGGTCACGAGAGCAACCCGCAGTATACAACTAGTATAATATATAAAATTCTCGTGTCGCGGTGTTTGTTATCAAGCTCCTCTGAAACGGCTTTACCGATTCTTATGATTTTTTTATGCAAATCAGACAGGTGTGAGAATCGGTCAACATATATTTATAATAGCCTGCAATGATAAGGGAATTATATTTTTTATTTTTATGATAATTTTTTTTTAATTTTTATTTTCATCATCAGAATGCTAAATCATAATAAAATAAAAATTAAAAAAAAAAATCATATTTTCATTTGAAATATATGTATATTTCAAATGAAAATATGATTTTTTTTATAGGTATGTACCTACAACTTAAATTTTTCTCGCTTTTCAGATCAAACGCTGTATTTTTATAACGATATTAATATTTTAATTTATATGACAATACAACGTTTCTTGGGTCAGCTAGATTACTACATATACATATAGGTATAACTAAATATACAATTAGAGTCGAGTAGAAATACCAAATCACCAACGTCACAGTTGCATGTAGGTTAATAATTAAAAATATACTATGTTTATATACACACGTACACAGCTTGTTTAAGAAAATGACCAAAGCAATTAAAATACCTGAGAAAACGTTTTTTTAATAAATTTACAACCACATATTTACAAGCATAGTTGTATAATTGCAAATAACATTAGTTTTATATGTAGGTAATAAATCTATATAAAAAAGTATTCTTGTAACTAGCGATGTACCCCGGCTACGCACGGTTGCTTGTAATCATTGTAGTGATTTGAAAATTGAATTTGCTGCTTTATGGTTAAAACAGTTAGGTTCAAAACCATTTGATATTTGTGACACAAATCTATCTTATATATCTTCTTTCATTAAGATCTATTCAGACGATTAATCGTGAAAAGGTAACAAACAGACAGACGCACAGACAGATTTTCGTATGCATATTTTTATTACATATCGGTCTCTTATTGGAATTATATTTTATGTTGAAATGCTAAGAAGTGCGGGAAAGAGGGTTGTTAAAATATGATCTAATGAGTTAATTGCTAGCAATGTACTGTGTCAGGTTGATTTCCACGCGGGTCCCCCTGGAATCCATTATTCTTGGTGAATTTGCCACGATGGTCTAACTGACTTGACTTCATGCTCATCCTATAGTTCTCCAATGGTGCCCCATCAGCGTAAACCGTTAGCGCAGGCGATTGCACCATTCCATTATCATCCATTAAAAAATGCGAAGTTCGTCTCTCAAACAACTTATTTTAATACTAGCTGTACCCGCGACTTCGTCCGCGTGGTATGTATATACCGTATTTATATTCATATGCATTTAGTAAAAAACGTTTATTTCAATATTACAAACAGACACTCCAATTTTATTTATATGTATATACTATAAACGCGAAAGTTTGTGAGTATTAATGGATGTTTGTTACTCTTTCACGCAAAAACTACTGAACGGAGTTTTATGAAATTTTACAGAAATATAGCTTATACATCAGAATAACCTATAACTTATATTTTAATATAATTTCACGCGGGTCAAACCACGGGCACAGCTAGTACAAATCATTCCTCTTTATGGTATTGTTGTAGATTTTTTATGGGATGTATATGATTTATGGGTTTGATAAATCACCTTGTTGCATATTTGAGGTAGAGCATGTAATTAATATCGATTGGCTGCTAGGCTCGGCTGATCTGTGGTGTAGATTATACGAGAGTAAGGCGTAGGTATTAATGTTTTCTGTGCCGGTGATTTATCTGGAATATTTTTATTCTTCGCGGTACGAAAGTCGTTTTGTTTCTCAAAAATGCAATATTCATAAAACTACATTGAACTACATTGAACACAAAACAACAACAACTACTAATATTGTTAAAAAGAAGCACTATACTGTTATATTAATCAGAATTTTTTTTTGCAGTATGTTAGTGAAATATTATTAGCTAGTAGTAATTATATCTGTAGTTACACATTACCAATTTTAGTGAAATTATCACACGAATAGAGTATAGTTCAAACGCTTTAGGTCTAGCGATTGTCGCATGATAAAAACTACATATATATAAATAATACTGTGTGAATTGTCCTGAGATTATATAATAATAATCTCAGGACATCTAGACCCAAGTTAAGCTAGCTAAAGCTTGTGTTATGGGTACTAGACAACTGTCACATATACATAGTTTTTTTTTGTAAATACATACATATTATACATAATAAAACACCCAGACCGATACAAACAATCATACTCATGAATACAATTGTTTGTGCTGTGCGAGGAATCGAACCCGCGACCATCGGTCGTAAAGCGGTAGACCACTAGACCACCGAGGTCCTCATATAGTATATTTGTTGTAAATATATATATATATATATTTTAAAAAATATATTTGTGTCATTTAGAACTTAGTTTAGTTTGGGACTATATGCCGCTTTGAGAATTATATCTGTACCTATAATACAGAAATAAAATAAATAACCCTGTCAAAAGCTTTCATTATGTAAATATTTACATTGTATTAAAAAACTTATTTTCATTGTTCACAGGCAAAAAAAGAAATGTACGATGTGAAGAAACAGCGTCTATGTTTAGCACAAGATGAGTACAAGCATTTAAACAATGCCCTGTCTACCCTCGCAGCGTCTAGAACGAGTCGTAAGTGTTATCCTACATATCTTTACATATATTACGTATATCCCTAACCTTATATAACCTACATATATTAGCAAATGCGATTGACATTCAATTAAATGAAACTGGAATTACGCTCGGTACCAAGTTATTTAGTTTCAAACTATGAGGTATTCAATTCGTAAGCATTTTTTTTACTTTGAAGCTTAACAGTATTCTGTATACTTCGTATAAAAAGAATACTCTTAAGGTACATTTTGTAAAAAGTTCTCTGGTACCTCTGACTTACCAGCAGTCGACAAGCAACTTATTTTGTAAGAGGTGTTTCGATTATCCTCCGAAATGACAACGCACGAGGTAATCTCGGGTTGATACCATTATGAGTTGATGTCCATGGTACACTTCATGTATATAAGCTACCATTCCTATTACATACAGAATCTATACTGTTTTATATTTGACGCGGTCAATAAAACGTGGTAAGATCCCGTGATTATTACTAATTATACGTATAAAAAATCTAATTCATATTACATTCTGTATATAGTATACAATGTCGTCACAGTAGTCTGTTCTCTTATATCTTTTAAAGTACGCAACGAACTTTAACGCAGTTACAAGTTTAGTGCACAGTTTTGCTCTAGCAATAGATAGAGTGATTCAAGAGGAAGGTTTATAGAATAGAATAGAAAATCATTTATTCAAATAAACTTAATTTAAGCACTTTTGAATAGTCAACAATTTTTTTTAATCTACCGTTTATTCGAAAAGCTGTGTCACAAGAAGAATAAGCAAGAAACTTGTGTGTTGCTCTTTTAAACAATCCTTGTAAGTTCACATTTTACAAGTCGAAACGTGTGAATACAAACTACCAACCTATAATGAAACTATATGTAGGTATATTATATGCGTTATGGTACAGAACAAGCCGTGAAATTCAAAGATTTGTAATTGTAAAAAGTAAAATTTATGTAATCCATGATATGCCTGGACTTAGTAAAATAATAGCTATTTATTGCAACTAATATCATACATAATTGAACTATAGAATTTATTATAAAAACTATTTGCTTTAATCAATTAATTCTATATTTTACGTCATCATAAATAAATGCGTAGAACAAGATTAAATTATAAATTACTATTAACTACTTACAAATGACTATGATACGAAATACGCTATTTGTAATTCTAATAACTTGAACTGAATAGTTCTCTGTATGTGCTGGAATTTATGTAATGTATAAAGTATATAATATATATTATACTATATATAATAATTGCACATTCCCAATAGGTTTGAACGTAATTTTTTCTAGAGATAAATGATTCTGCGGTGATGGAAATATATTGATAATAAAGCGAATTGAAAGAAATTTCTACTATACACCTCGGTAATTTAACAAGTTACAGATCTTAGTTGTTAGATCTTTTCGTGAGGTCGTCTTAATGGGTTTAAAAAAAACGTAAAGTAAAGTGGCCTAAGGTACTCCTTATAACACTCGTTCCATGCATTTCAGAGACCAGCAAGAACGAACTGTAAGCAAAATTTTTAAAATTATTTTTTAATGTCATCGTCAACATTATTATTACATATAGTGAAAAGGTGTTAATTTGAAATTACAAACACTCTAATTTTATTTATTTCTAGATAGAAATTATTTATTTAACTTAAATGCACGCAACACTAAAGGTAGTATAGTCAACCATAGATTCTGCCGAGAATAATGTAATTTGTTGTTATATAGTTATTGTGTTATTTATATATAAATATTTATTTTTTATACAGTATGTTCGTCAACGACGTCTATGACGACAACATCAACGACGTCACGACACGACCCGGAAGTGCTTCGATCGGAAGTTACACAGGCGCGCGGTCGGGTTGCGCAGCTGCGGAAAGAACTTCGACAAGCGCGAGCGGAAGTAGCTTGCGCGCGGAGAGGAGTAGATACCTTAGCCGAGTAAGTATTTTTTTATGAATCTGGAAGAGTTCACCGTCTGTGTTATAGTATACACTGGAGGGGCATCAGTGGAATATGATAGGATGTGGATAAAGTCAGGTATCGTGGCGAAATCGACAGGAGTTAATCATAAGGAGATAGCGTGTAGGTCGTCTGGGAGTTATACGGTGCATTGCCCGCAATGGGCAGCAGTACTTCTAAAAATCCCCCTCTCTTATTTTTTTTTCATTATTTTTTGTATACTATACATGCATGTCAGACAAGAGACTACTGATGCCTCATTCCCTCTTATGTATCTGTTAGGTGTTGCTTTGAATTTGGTATGTCCTTTTGCTCCTTGTCTGGGCTATGCTTCCACTTAAGCGATATATCTATTTAATATCACTTTAAATAGAATATATTTTTCATCAACTGAAGCTTTGATATATTATTTCTCTGTAATTTTCAGAGTGGAACAAAAAATAAGTTCCCAACAAGGCTGTTACAATATTACTGAAGCTCAGGCTATCATGACTGAGCTGAAGAATATACAGAAATCATTAACCTCAGGAGAGAAAGAGAGAGCAGATCTAATGCAGTCTCTAGCTAAGTTAAAGGATGACTTGACAAGATTGCAACTCGGAGATGCCTCTCCCGACCTCTCCACGTTGAGTCTTCCCCAAGAGAAACTCAGCACTGCCTCCCAAACTGATCTCTGTGCTGACCTGGTACCGATTGGTACAAGACTGGCAGAAATGGCGCGGGTTCGCCTCCAATATGACGAAGCTAGGAAACGGATACAACAAATTCAGCAACAATTAGCTGATTTAGAAGATAAAGTACAGCCAGGCCAAGCTGAGTCTGATAAAGATCGACTATTACTATTCCAGGAGAAGGAACAGTTACTGAGAGAACTGAGAAGTATAACGCCAAGGACAAGATCGAAGCAAGAGATGAGTAATATACAAATAGAGTGTGAAAGGTTAGAGCAGGACTTAAAAAATGCTTTCGAAATGTCCAATAAGTGTATAGCGGATCGTTTGAGGTTACATGAAGAGAAGCAATTATTACTACAACAGTTAAAGGACGCTCTGACGTCAATGACGACGTTGGAAGGGCAGTTGAAGACATTATCCGCTAGCACGTTATCTGTGTCGAGTAGTTCTAGTTTAGGATCTTTGTCTACAGCTAGCAGTAAAGGATCTTTGAGTTCAGGGATCAGCTTTACTGATATTTATGGAGGACCACAAATTGCGAGTTCGTTTCAAGCTGACAAACCTATAGATATGGCAGATTTACATCGAAGGGTTGAGAGGTAATTTTTTTTATCATTATGTGTTAAGACGATGATCTAAGCATTCTAAGCTGTTGGTTATATCTTATCTCTTAACAGATCTTGTGAAGATAAAGGGAATGGATGAAGTGGATTGATAACTTCTGTATCTTTTATTGTACAGTATTCTCTTTATTATATAAAGTTTTAAGAAGAATAACATAATGTAGTGTTTGACTAATTTCATAGATGATGTATTATTGTGTAACCATACGTTCGCTCTTCAGTAAAATCTTATTATCTATTTGAATCGTATATATTTTGACTTTAACTGACTATTTGAGATTTATTACTTTTTATAGTACAAATTAAATTACAATTTTACATCTAATCTAGGTATGTTATAAATACTAATTTGTAACATTGATTATAATAAAACGATCTAGTTATATTGCTTTATTAATTGTATTAAAATTATATTTATTTTGCAGGTTACTTCGCGGTACGACTTATACTGATAGTATAACTCCTGGTGCTAGCAGTTCACCATCACAACCCTCATTATCACCTAGAAGCAGTTTATCATCAGCAAGTCCACCACCCCCGCCACCTTCATATAATCAGGTATATATTTTAATAAAATCGAAGTAAATTAATTTATACCGTAATATAATTCAGATATTGTATTGCAGTACATTAAAACTATAACAAAATATTGTACAAACAATTATTGAGTTCCTTAAGTACTTTTGTTTAAAATGTATGATTCATTTTTATGTATATCTTTTAAGGGGATGGTAGTATTACATAATTTATGCTGTGTCCTTTGCATTTCCAATATAAACCTATATTACGTACCTATATACGTACATTTAAAGCTATGACACAATCAAATATCTCCCCAAAAGGATGACTGGGCATTGAGTCCACTTTTTGTACGATCTTTTATTAGTCAATAAGCAACAAATAATGTAGAAAATATTTTAGAAGATTAAGTCTACTACGATTCCTAACCTCAAAGTAAAAATAAGAAGTTAAGATAATTCTCAGAATTTATATAAGATCTCTATTTATATGTATATAATCAAGCTAATCTTTCAAGTCATCGACGTAAAACAGATGCGTTTTTAACTGCAATGTATGTTGGAATGGTATTATCAAACCGTAGTGTATGTTTATTTAATTAGTAATTTGAAAGCTGAAGAAATAATTAATGGAAACCGTTGCTATATTATTTATTTATACTTTTCAATAAATAAATATAAAATATTTATTGCAGGTGGAAAGACAAAGAAGACAGCAAAAAGAATTAGAAGAAAAATTAGCTGAAATGAGAATTGGAGTCACTACGGGACTCAATGAAGTTACAGGACTTGCCACAGGTATTAAAACCACATTCATTTAGTTTTCATTCACATGAACGAATGAAATAGCTAAGTTTATTAAGTTTATTCCATTCGTTCAGTTTCATTCACTTGCGGCTTCAAATCTATAATTTAATGATAATTGAATGGATTGACTAATGAAATAGCCAAGTTATTTAATGAGTACTGTTATTCAATTAATTAGAAATTTATATAAATTAATTCACTTTTTGAAAGTAAATAAAAAAAGAAATTAATATACAATGACCACATATTGTTTTAAGTAATTAAACATTATAAGCAATATATATTTTATTACAACCTACCTAGCTGTTTCTCGAGAATTTGTTCGCTTTTTATGAGGTAATAATTTGCATATATCCTCATGCTAAATACTAAGATTCATTCAGCCTATAGTTAACAGACAGAGAGACTGACACATTTTCACATTTATAATATTAGAATTTAATTGTCTCTGGCAGTACCTGTACAACTACAAGGACCGGGACGACCAAGCGAGCCTCTCTCACCGATATCCGAGACGCCCTCTGCACCGCTTTCACCTAGAACTCCCTCATCTAGTGGTAAGTTCTCATTTATAATGAATATTTTTATTATTATTTTCGTTTTTATTATTTTCAAGCCTTCACTGGGGCTTCTCATGTAGTTCGATATACATTTTAAAGAATGAAAAGACTTGTAAAAATAAGTAAATAAAAATTAAAACTTTATGTCGATTATTTCAAAAATTTAGTCGAATTATGAACGTCTACCTTAGACGGGTATTCTCTAATACAAAATTTCAATAATTATTGAAATTTTGTATAAGGCGAAAAAAAAATTACTTTTTTATAATACTAGGTGCGATATATACATATATGTATATGTATGTTAATGTTTCAGGTACAAATACTAGATCTGTGTCAGCGGCAGTCAGTGATGAGTCGGTGGCGGGTGATTCGGGTGTCTTCGAGGCGGCGCAAGCAGGGAATGATGCATCCAACGCAGGTAACAAACATCACTATTAAAGAAAGAAAGAAAAATATTTTATTCAGTGCAATGTAAAAAATACAATATAAACAACAAACGAAAAAAAGAGCAAATAAAATGTACATATAATTAAACTTAATTTACCATAATTAAAAAATAAACATAAAATAAACATTTTTTACATCCAATAATGCACTGAAATGGCTCCACTCAGCTTTAATGTATGTCCTAGGTGAACATACAGCTGGTTTTCAGTGGCACCAAAAATATATATATAAAAGGAGGGGAGAGAGAGGGCACTATTATAATACAACTCAGGACAATTTATAACGAAGCATCTAATTAAAGATTGAAACGAACTAAAAATAAATTATAATAACATAAAAAAATGTATTCAAGTAGCTAGCCGAACTGCACAGCAGGACAAAATATATGTGCATAAGTTATGTAAGCCTATGTGAATTCATTATGTTGACTTTGACATTTATTGAGTCATAAGCTAGGTTAAGTAGAGCTTATTTACTGATATAAAACATCCTGGTGAAAACATACTACATATACTTATGAATATGAATGTTCGTATCGCGCGTGAAATGAAATGCTACTGTTTATATAGATTATATATGTATATTATTATACATAAGTAAACTAATTTTTAATTAATAAAAAATACATATATATATTTTTTTCTTAAATCTGTTCATTTTTATTTGTAGTGAGCAGTGCGCAAATTGAGATCAAATTGCGATACTGTCCTGATGAGAGTGCGTTGGAGATTGGCATACTGCGTGCGCGTAACTTGCACGCACTGTACATCGATATTGACACTGAAATGTGAGTATTGTTAATTATTGTATTTTATTTTCCTGTTTTGTGTTGATCATGTCGTCCTTAAATTATTTTTAGTAGATACTAGCCTACAATTGTTATTTATTGCGTTTGGGTGTGTTTTAGGACATATAGAGTACTATATGTAATACTATATGATACTTGGGAAGATTAAACTTGTGTTATACAAGTACATCATACATGTATATTTTGTGTCTTGTTGCGTAGTTATCTGTCTTATCTATTCCTGCTGCTAACCTTGATTTGTGACATGGTTAATTAATACTATACAAATAGAAGTGATACATGTATAATGATTAGGGGGGTGTAATTGGTGCGTGCATGCGTACGCGCCTGTATGCTTATGTGCGTGTGTATTTAACACACTTCTATATATAATATAGAGGGCACTACAATAAAACACACAATTATTTACACTGCGTATATTCATCACCGCCGTGACCATAAAAAGCGACCAGATTAAAATTAGTTTAATTTTAATATACGAGTGCGATGAAAGTCAAACCTTAGCGCGTTACAATTTTGCTGCTAGTACCGTCTAGTAAGAGACATAGGGAACAATGGTAGTAATTTAAACGTCGTGTGTATTTGTAGCGTGGTTCGCGTGGCACTGATGAGTGGTAGCCGCGCGGGTGCGGGCGTGGTGGTGAGCAGCTCGGCGCTGGCGTGGCGTGGTGGAGCGCTGTGCTGGCGGCACTCGCAACGCGCACCCGTTGCAGGTGCTCGAGCTCTGCGGGCCGCCACGCTGCAGGTCAACGTGTGCACCGGCGCTGAGTGTCTGGTACGTAACACGTGGCAAGTGGCCTAGCACGTAGCCATCGCCGCGCTGTGCTGGCGGTACGTGCAGCGCGCCCGTCGCCAGCGCTCGCTACGTAGCACTTGGCCGGCGGCGTGCTGTGCTAGCATGCACGTACGCTGTATGTTGAGCTACGGTAGTGTAGTGACCTGCGCGGTGCTAATCAACATGTTGCGATATCAATGTAATTGAAGATACTGATAGGAATACAGTACACCACAGATTGGTACCTCAATCAGGGGTGTCTACGATCGTCACATGAGTACGTGATGTCCGTGGTGTTATCTATATATAGCCAGCGTTTTTACTGCCCCTGTTAGGTTACATAAACGCAAACAACTTTAGTACCTTATTTTATCTCAATTTGTCTAAAATAATAACACTCGTTTTACTACCTAATAATGCAACTATATTATACAGCATTGTTTTAATCATTCAAATATATTTTACGTATATAAATATATTACATAAAAATCAACTGTTTCCTCTTTATAATTTTAGTAGACAAATGACTCAAAACTGCAACCTATTTATATTAATATTAAAAGTTCACTGCGGTGTGGTGATTCAAACTTCAAGCCTGTCTGTATCATTAGTGAATCAGACTCATGAATTTTTCTAGACACTACTGGATGCTGTTTACCTGCAGTACACCACAATTGTGGCTTCGAGTCACTGGCAGACTGCCAATTGTCTGGCGCACAGACTAGTCTGTGGTTAGTCTCGTTGGCTGGCGCATTGCGGTCTAAGTGTTAATAGTATAATAGTTAAACGATATATATTATGAAATCAATATATATTATACTAGCTACTCGTCCCGGCTTCGCACGGGTGTACATGTATTATATATATAAATCTTCCTCAAGAATCACTCTATCGATTTAAAAAATCCGCTTCAAAATCCGTTGCGTAGTTTTGAAGATATAAGCGTACATAGGGACGGACAGATAGCGACAACGACTTTGTTTTATATTATGACTAAACTTGATTGACGTGATCCGGTAAAACAGCGAAACTTATCGAGTCCAATTAAACACAAAACATTTAATTGAGGAGTCATATTGCAAATTATAACTAAACTATATAACTATATATAAAGTTAATGATCATATAGTGACATAGGAATATAATGTATCACTATCTATAGTAAGAGATTGCTTTAAACGTTAAGGCCGCTTTTTATTTAAAACGTTCTAAAAAGTTCCTTTTTATGTTTATATTTTTCTTTGCACAATAAAGAGTTATATTACAATTATGTAATAATTCGGCATTAGGCTACGGTAACCATTTACCATCAGATGGGCCGTATGCTTGATTGCCACCATCGTAAAAAAAAATAGTCCCCATTACTAATACTCCACTTTCCACGAGTACTATGAATGATGACAACTAGCCAAATTTGAGTATTCGGCGACAAGCCTTGAGTGCTATGTGAATATCACTAGGCGAGAGCGATTATTTACTGAATGAAACAATCAATATTGTAAACTAAATTATACCTTATGCACATGTCTATAACGTATTTATTTGTCTACAGGGGTGTGCGCAAGTCAGCCTGGCTGATTTCGACCTGGATGCAGTTTCGCAGAAGTGGTACAACCTTCTCGGTTTCCGGTCTATGAGGAGGGACGAGAGTTCAGACGAGTCAACGGTCATATCTTCGCAAACTTCCACTCTCACAAGAAATAGAGGTAAGTTCATATTAATAAATTTCCCACTTTGTAAAAATGGCGGGATCTTTGTGTTGTCTATTTCTCTATCCAAACAGTTTACATCATATGTTATGTTGATTGAAGGGTATGGTAAAGGGTAAAACAGGAAAATTACAGGGTATGAAGGATAAAGTCTAAGCTATAACATGTTTTCCAAAAAAATCTAATACAAAAACTTTATTAAGATTTTTTAATGTAATATACTGTTATGTTGTTATTGGTATTTTTATTTCATACTTTTTGACTTTGTATTTATTTTTTGCTCCAATTATTACCCCCTATATACAACCAATGCCACTGTTTTGGGTTAATTGATCTCGTCTATGGTTAAATTAACATTTGCTCACATCGTTTCTAAAATACACTATTTCTTAACACTATTACAAGTGTGGAATAATCTATACTAGAACCTTTACATTATCTGATAAATACGAATTACTGAAAATTACTTATATTATGAAATAAATGAAATAAAATGTTTTTTGTGAATAATATTAAATTATATTTATCATAAGTAATTGGTAATACGTGTACTGCATTTCTAATTAGGTAATACGTGTAACATTTGTAGATATTTTACATTAAATATAAGAATAAACTTATTATTAAAAATATTCAATTTCAGGTCCTGAGAGCATGACTGGTGCGGAGTGTAACGTGGACTGTGGAGATAATTCAGCTTCAGAGGACGAGGAATCTAGGGAACCACTTAATCAGGTAATTTTTTTTACATAATTGTATTTGCAAACTAGCTGACGGCCCACCAGATTAGAAGTGGTAACCGTCGCCTGCATATGACGGCCCTGATGGTCTAGCGGTTTATCACATCGCTTTACTTCCTATGGTCGCATGTTGCAAATATTTGTATTCATGAGTATGATTGTTTGTATGTGTTTGGGTATTTTCTATGTATATTATGTATTAAAACATATCTAAGTTTATATATCAGTTGTCTAGTACCACAAAGCAAACTCTGATTATCGTGGAACTAGATAGCGCTGTGTTAATTGTTAATTGTTGGGATATTTATTAATTATTATACATGATCAGCACAAAGTCGATCTCAGTAAAATATCAATACAAGTAGTTCATAATATAATGTACTATAAGGCATTGTTATTAGAGTTATATTTCGTGTGAACAGTGTTAATGAATAAAACGATGAATTTTATTAATATACATATGTCAATATACATTGATGTAGGTAGGTCACATTTAATTAGATCACAACAAATTTAATTGTATATTGATTATTTATATTGTTAGCCGAAAACACGAAATTAATAAAAATATTTTATGGTATTCACATCTCTAGACGTTTGGACTAGTTTGCATTAGCCATGTCATGAGTGATTAAAAATAACTGTATATTCGTTTTCAGATTGTAGAAGAAGATTCTTCAGAAGATTATATCCCTGAGGAAGACGAGGTCCTAGAAGGAGAGTACCTGCCTTCAACAGCAGAGAAAGCCACCAATACAGAATGCAACTTCTGTCCAGAGGGAGCGAGACAACTGCACAGAAGGTATATTGAGATAGAGATACGATATTCATAATTTGTAAGATATCTTGCTGTAAATAGGCTATATTTGGGTGATGGTTGATATTGGAAATGTGGATTTATTATTATTAATCGTGACCATTTATTTCGCACACTTTTCATCACATTATTACTAGAATTAGGTAATAAAGATAATTTTCTGTACAACATGGATTTATTCAGATTACAAATATAAATTATAAGTAAATCTTTAATCCTTTGTAATCTTTGATTTAACTGATTTGAAACGCTACATATTTTTTCTATACAGTATTATTTCGTAATAATAAAGTTATTACATACTTCGAAAACTTTTTGACTTGACTACCATTAACACTCTGAATATCTTTAAAAGTCATATATAGATATATATATATAGTTGTGATTATAAATTTTACATAATATAAAATGAAGTCGTATTCGTTGTCTGTTCGCTTAGATATTTTAAACTACCCAATGAATTATAATGCAGTTTCTAATAGTAAATACAGTGATTTCAGAGGAAGGTTTTTATTAATTAATACATGTCCTCCCGTGCGTAGCCGTGGTGCGTAGCAAGTAAATTATATATATTCATAATTTCACAAATTGACGTGAAAATCTACACGGCTATAAAAAAAACATTTTTGTCTTGTATACATGTAATGAAAACAGAGTCTTACTTCGTCAGCTTAAAGTGTATATTTTATTATGTTTGGTACTGGATAATTAGATAAATAGAAATATAAATAGTGGGACAGAGGTGGCGGGCTATTGGGTATTGAGCGGTAATTTCTTTCACCAGATATATGAAATGCTTGAAACGAGTGGAGGCAGACGGCAGGCCTCAAGAGGAAGCGCCGTTAGCTAAATAGTTTATATCCGTCCATACATACGTAGTACATAGTTTTATATTTATATATAGGTACGTTTACATTGTGTCGCAAATGGTGTGTTACGCTTCGTGAATGTTAAGTTTTTGCTTTCAACTAATGATATAGTCGGTCCAGTTTTATATGTATACACTTGTATACGTTGTCTGTACACTTTTGATATATATATATATATATATTAGTAGGATATCCTAATATTGTATTATAAAGAAAAGAAAGAAATTATTTTTTTGATACAACACATTCGAAATAATGTATACAACAAAAAAAATTATTAAATACAAATCTCTACTTACAATTACAGTTTGCTGTAGAGTTAATGTAATAAAGGATTTTGTCCATGAGTTTTCTTTTATACGTGTAAGAAAATCAAATTTTCATATAAATATTCAGGTATAATATTATTGTTTTTTTTAAGTTCATGTTTTTCATTTGTGAAGTACAAGTTTTGTTACCTGGTCTTAGAATAAATTTGTATCATAAAAGTTAAGTTATAATTCTAGATTATTAAAAATAAATATGTATAATATATTCAATATGATTCATATGATATTTCATAAATATTGGACCGACTAAATATATTTGGTATTATAAAGTATGCATGCTGACAATATAATTGTATTTAATTTTTTTTAATGCATGAGTAGCATGAACGAGGCACAATGTGAATGTATCTAGTTCAATACAAACACACTTACTAACCTTGTTTTTGATATGTCTAATTAATTTTAATTGTATGACAATAGGTTTGTTACACATCCCAATTTTTTTGCGATGAATAATAGTTTATATTTTGTACTAAAACTCTAGTATTTATCGTGGATTTTTTTTTAAATTGTTGTATTATTTACAGGAGAAGTCAACAAGTAAGCGCAAACCCAGAAGAGTCACTAGCGACGATAAAAAGATCTCAAACGTTTTCACCGCAACCACAGAGTATCGGCAAAGGACAGTACATTTGTAGGTTAGTACCAGCATGTTTTCATAGATTTTAAATAGAGTAAAAATCAGTGACGTGCCTTTGTCATTAGGTACACCTGTAAGACAACTTGTAACAAAGATATTCTTATATTTATTATTGTATGAGCGTGAACCCACGAGCGTGTACCCACGTGCTTCTCATTTGTAGCACAAATGAGAAGCACGTGGGTACACGCTCGTACCTTCCTAGGGCCTCTTTTCTATAAGCACTTGCGAATTTTAACGGAATAGATATCATGCATTTGTTCAGGCGGAGGAGTATTTTCAAAAAGAACACATTAATTTTTTTTTAAATATCAATTTTATTAAAATAAATAATTATTAAAACTGTACTAAATGAAACGACATAATTATAAGATAAATGAAACCGTAATATATCTAATATAAAAGATTCTCTTGCCAGGGTGTTTGTTACCAAACATCTCCGAAATAGCTTAACCGATTTTTATGATATTTTATGGCCTTATCGGCTAAGGCTGAGAATTGGCCAACATCCGTTACTTATTATGATGTTTATTTCAGATTAAATCGTTCTGAGTCGGACTCATCGATGGCGCAGTACGCTCGAAGAGTCACGTTGCAGCCGCCCATGACCACCGGCATACCCTTCGACAGGAACCGTTGTGAACGCAGATCTTTACGGTAAGTAGTGTATTATTAAAAACTGTGTGCTTAGGGAATTATATTAATAATTTTAATTTTTTAGAATTTTTACTATACTTTTGTATTTGCGTCCAATACAAGATAGTATGTGAAATGTTTTCTTATCGAATTAATGTATTTTAGGCATATATAATAAAAATGGTATTCTGCACTCCTTTTATATATAAACCATAAGTGTAAAGCGAAATTAAATACTCCACCATTCGCGCAATTTTCTTAAAAAGGGGTACAACGGAGTACAACACTAAACTTATTTAGATCTATAAGAAATAGCGCCATACTTATGGACTGGTTTACATTTTTTAATAATTTTTTTTAATTATTATTATTTTTGTGCAGACGTGGTCGCAGCTGTGCGTTACGTCGCGGCGTGCTGGGCGCGGGGGGCGGAGCGACCGCGGGGGGTCGGGCCCGGGCTCCGAGGACGAGCCTGGACCTGGCCCTGGACCTGCGCGCGCAGCATTCACGTCTAGCGGACCTCAACAACGACATCGAGCACCTCACCGAGCTTAAGAAGAAGTATGTACAGTGCAATATTTATTTATTTACAATTACTAGAAGTTAGTGCTTCACACAGACAGACAGACTTGCTTAGTATGACGCTTTGGATATTGTTAATGTTGTGTGATATCTCATTACGAAGATATTTATTTATTAAAAAAGATTTAATTCGTTAATTCTCTTTTTAGTTAGTAAACCGCAGATAAGCCATCTTTCTGATTTTGTTGCACTTGATATAGTTTTTTTTATGGATGATAATGGAATGGTGCACCCGCCTGTGCTAACGGTTTACGCTGGCGGGGCACCAGTGGAGGGTAATGAGATGAGGTTGAGGTCAGGTCAGTTAGCCCGTAGAGACAAATTCATGAAGAATTTATTACGATGGTCTCCAGGGGGAACCGCGTGGAGGTCAACCTGACATGGTACATTGCTAGCAATAAGATAATCAATCACATTGATTATAGATTACTTACTATTTAGTAATTGGCACATGACAATTTAATTTGATTAATAACATGTAAAATAAATAAATAAATTATGACCGAGAAATAATTGATGAATTAAAAATACCCAACGTTACTTTTCTGTTCTGTCATAGATGTTGAAAGATATATACTATATTTCAATGGATAATTCTTACTGTTTATGAAATTAGTTAATTACTTAAACGTTATCTTTAAAATTATCTAATAAGAGATTTCTCTTCATTCTACAGATTAGAAGAAGCTCGATCATCAGGTGATCCAGCAGTAGCTGCGTGGGTCGCTGAGGATGACACTTTCCGGAGACTGATCACGGGTCCAGCGGAGGCGGGCTCAGACCGTACTTCCAAACTGTTGCACAAGACGTACCGCGAGATCATCAGGTTGAGGAGATCGCGGCAGGGCAGCAGGAAGCCAGACATTGTCACTTTCAAGTAAGCCAGTTGTAATATTAAAAAAGAAGTAAATATCTATCAAAATGTAATATGAGTCATATAATCTTAAACTACAATATTTACGACTACTTTTAAACAATAACAAAGTTAAAAATTAACAAATCGTTAGGAAATGGCATGTTGGACATATAGAGAGAATGTTAGATGAAAGGACAACGAAACAGGTATGATAAAATGGAAGGATGTATGGGGGATAAAATTATATTATTTCAGTCTCCACTCAATAGTCTAAAACAGAAAATAGAATTTGAAATATAGATTAATAAAAAAATAGTGAATATTTAGCACTTTGTTTCACTGAAGTTCTCACAGAAGGTCTCGACGATAGTAAAATCAACTCAAATATTTAGTTTAATAAAATGTAATAAGCTTATTTTTTCTTTCACAGAGAAAAGATGGCATTCTTCACACGCAGCAAGACCACCATCCCTGTGCTTCCAGGCGAAGAACCTGACGAGATATCCGAAGATGACTGGGAAGAAGACGACCTAGAAAGAAGAACTCCTGACGGTCGGTCTTCGAAAACGTCGTACGAACGCCGCGAACAGCGCTGCAGCGACACCCAATCCCAAAATGCTTCCGAATGTACAGAATCCAAAGAAGTGGTGGACTGCAAAAACCTTTGCCTGAACCCAGAACCATGCTACGAGAATCTGCCAGTAACCGCCAGTAACATCGACGATGCGAAAATACAAGAAGAAAATGAAACTAAGACTGAAGAGGTGAGGTATGACTTTGTTGTTGATAGAGTTTTGGGTGTTCAGGTTTGAATGAATTCATTAGCCAATCGTAATGAACGAATGAATGAATAAGCTCAAATGGCCTTGTACATGGCACCATTAAAGTGAATTTGCAAATATTTACTGTGATTATTATTGCCTATTGAGATTTCTGGTATGAAGACTGAAGCGAAAATTATTTTATATGTATCGTATTATTAATGTATCAGGACTCTAAGTTACGTACGTATGTGCAAACAGAGTGCCATAAACACTGAGAGTTCATTAATATATATATTATATGTATCTTTAAATATATTGGATCAATTTGATATCATATTGTACAAAAAAGTGCCTTAATTTTTTTGGTGCCTCCATTTGTATAAATGTACAGAAGCCTGCGAATGTGCCATATTGCGGCATGAAATGGAAAGGTATTAGGTACAAAATAGTTGTATGAAGAGTCACAAAATATATACCAAACGATTAATGTAATATGAACAGTCAGGGCGACTATTTCATTGTACAGACATACGTAATTAGTTGGCCCACCGAAATGGTTGCCCGGCTGTGTATAAATAAATTAATGAGATATTTTATAGTATCCACCGAGGACTTGACAGGCCAAAAATAGACGCTTTGTATATAAAGGCTTTGTTACACGAGTCGATAGTCGGTGTCGTGCATTTGTCGAGTACGTACCTGCCCTTAGCTCATTTCTTGCGAACCTAGAAAATTAATAACAATGTGTTCTCATATTTTAGCATCTATACACGTCCCTGAAATCGGTTGCGATGTCGGAGCAATTGTGAAAAATGCAATCATGCTCATCATGTTTGCACATTTAACCTTATGTGTTACCTACACACGAATCTAGAGCGCTATCCACCACTGTATCAAAATTACCAACGATTTCAGAGCCTTGTATAGACGTTTTTACATCAAATTTCATAATTTTAGTTAGAAATTTGTAGCTTCAATATAAGAATAAGTTTTTTAGCCAAAGGCACTATTAGTATCATCATAATTCAAATTTTCTATTACATTGACATTTTTCTTAGTCAGGTTAATTACCAAACATATCACAATTTCTACGATACATTACATTGAAATAAATTATAGTGTATATATGAACGTTCATTATTAATTTTCAAGGGTGACCAATTCAAAAGTCGCAAAACGTGGGCACACAAACGTTTTTAGCGTGCAATATTGATACACGTAGTTACTTCCTTATAGTGAGTCACTTTATGCATTACCGAATATTCATAATCTTTATATATTATCATCGTCATCATCATCACTATCGTCATCACCATCACCATCACCAATGACATCACAGGCTAAGTTGAAAGCCAGGTAGAACTAAAACATTTTGATCAAGAAACAAACTGGAAATCTGTAATTTTGAATTCTTCATACTAACTTGACTTAGCCATGTAGACTTTTAAAGCCTTCACGCAAATGAAGATTATAGAAAATATTTTCAGATCTTACCTTTGCTTCTTTGGTAACAGTTGTTCAGTATCATAAACACTAGTGATAGTATCCTGGCGGCTTCCGCCTTCGCCTTCGACTAAGCGTGTATAAATATTCACTACATTTGTTACTTCACTCCTCGCCACGATTCTAGCAGGACATGAACGACTAAGTGTGTATATAACTGCAGGGAAACATCACCATAAAAATCACATATATATATAATATTTATTGCAAATCGTGTATTAACTTTAAATTATGGGCAATGTGTTAAATGACTCACTATAGTTGAGATCTGATTTTGTGCCGATTTTGTTCGTATTTCGGTTCATAATGTTTAGTTGCAATGAGAATATACAATCTGTGGTATTTTGATGCCCAAACGTTGGAAACAATTAACAGGAACTTGTATTATATCATATTTTTTATTATTAGGGTTTATTTTAATTATTTAACTTAGTACAGTTCGAATCACAATTATCTTTGTTTCCAAGATATATTTAATCAGTCATTTGTGGTGTCTGCTGCAGATAGTATGTTTTCATTGGTCTAAATTAAAATTATAGTAGATTTATATTATATTTGTACATTTTGTATCATATTTTTAATATTATTTTAGCGATAATAATAACGTAAATAATCTGAAAATAATACATCGGTAAAAGAATTTGCATATCTGTATTTCTGAAACTTTGTCTATTATTATTAATAATTATTAATTATTTCTAGCAATATTAGTGGATGTTAAGTATTTTTATAACAAATCGATAGTCCCGTAGTCGACATAGTTGTGTAATTAAGTAATTACATTTTTGTAAAAAATGTATATTTTATATAAACATTTATGTTTTATAAATAATTTTGTAATTGTTACTGAGGTGAATTTGTATTTGCCAAATTAATATAAGTATTGTTTTAATTTTTCCATACAAAAAAGGACTATATTTTGTAAAGATGTCAATACTGTCGATAGAAGGTCGAGAAATAAAAAATGAAAATAAAAATCATAAATTAATAATGTTCTCGTTTGATTTTTGCACATCCCCAAGTTATTGTCCGCATAAAATTATTAACGTCAAAGGAAACAAAAATATGGATATATATACCTAATTGAAACGGCAAACAAATTGTCAGATATGTATAGATATACAATAGCAGACCCCGCAAGCGTTGTTTTGCCATATAAATTAAAATCGCTTTTAAAAATAAGGGTTCGTGATAGAAGAGTGAAATTTTAGGGTTGTATGTATTTTATAATGCCACATATAAAAAAATAAAAATTGTCTAAATAATTAAAATGAAATGTAAGGGATGCACAACCATTATCACTTGTGGGTATGAAAAATAGATCGTAGTCGATTCTCAGATCTACTGAATATATAAAATTTCATGAAAATCAGTCAAGCCCTTTCGAAGGAGTATGGTAACTAACATTGTGTCACGAGAATTTTATATGTAAGATATTGTTCATGTCTGATATAATTATAACATTTTCTTACATTGCATTCATGCGCCATCTTCGATCTTCTTTTGTCCTCTATCCAAAGGTTGTCTGGATGATATTGTTTGAGCGATAAAACCGCCTTTGGTACTTTTAATCCAGAATTTTTTTTAATTAAAAATGATTTAACCCGTTTTGGCGTAATATATAAAAAGAAGGGTTACGACCTCGGTGGTCTAGCGGTCTAGCACACCTCTTTGCGACTGATGATCGCGGGTTCGATTCCTCGACGGCGCAAACATTTGTATTCATGAGTACGATTGTTTGTATCAGCCTGGGTGTTTTCTATGTATAATATGTATGTATTTACAAAAAAAATATCTACGTATAAGTATCAGTTATCTAGTACCCATAACACAAGCTGTAGCTAGCTTAACTTGGGTCTAAATGGCGCTGTGTGAATTGTCCTGAGATTATTATTGTTATTAAGTTTAATTTAAAATTTTACTAGACTATTTCTTACTCTGCTATGATAACTGTATTACTAATCATTATTTTGGTAAGAACAATTAATACTTCAAAAGAAAACTATTATATGGAACAACTTAGTAAGTGAATGTGTATTTTTAGGGGTGAATAAATTTTATGATGCCTCTTATTATGCAATTAAGTTATAATAACAGCCTTATTATGTGGGCAATACGGTTTATGACATTATTTAATTATTGGATGTTAAAATTTTAGATCGCTGTTCACTGTTACCATTTATTAGGTATTTACAAAATAGAGTTTTGCAAGACTTTAAAAATGTCGAAATTAAGTCTAAATTAAATATATTGAATTATATTATCGTGGGAGCGGTATGGTGTTTACTCATACATCTCATGCAACTGGCTAATATGTTTTTTTTATATTTTTTGAAGTTTTGTATGTTTGTTTACGAACACATACAGAGTTATGGGAGTGTTTGGAGAAACATGACGCGTCTGGGAATTGGACCAACTCTCCGAAGCACTGGTTTACTGTTTAGAAAAGTTCGGAAACACCGATAAAAAAACAAAATTATTCGAAAGATGGCAGCACGTGCACTTCCTGTGGAGTATTAAGAGATTATTTAATTATTGGATATTAAAATTTTAGATCGCTGTTCATCATTACCATATTATAACAAAATAGAGTTTTGTGAGACCTTCAAAATGTCAAATTTAAGTCTAAATTAAATAAACTGAATTATGTTATCGTGGTAGCGTTGTGGTGTTTACTATTGCAACTCATACATCCCTGACATGAAGATTATTCTATAATTTTTTGAAGTTTTGTATGTTTGTTTACGAACCAATTTTGGGAATATATGGAATTGGACCAACTCAACAAAGCACTGTCTTACTGCGTACAAAGGTATTACCTATTCTGAAAGGATCAGAAACACCGATAAAAAAAAAACAGAATTATCCGAAAGATGGCAGTAGGTTCGCTTCCTATGAAGTTTATACCCAGCGAAATGCGAATATGTCAAATATAGTGTTCACAACATCGCTGACAGCTCACAATTCTTCAATTCTGTCGGTAAATATAATTATCATACCGGAAATCTAACTGACAACAATTCACGATAGATTACGTGTAATAAAAGTAACTTTAAATTAAAAAAGATTTGACATTTATACATATTCGGTTTTTTTATTTCTACCGTCCAATTCAGCTAGCTAGCTGAGTAACTTGAGTAGAACTAGCAAAAAAGTCTAATTTTATTCTATTTAAATCAATTTAAATGAATCTTTTGGAATCAGTTATCATAATTCATACTCGAGCCCTAGACAATAGTATATTTCTAATAGAAATCGCATGTATTTTTTAAATGTAATATGAATGTCAAACAAGCTGATGGCCCTCCTCGCCTATATACCTACATGCACTCCGCATATAACATTATAGTGTGACCGTATACTAATATATCGCTATACCAATGTTATGTAATTTTCATTACCTAATCTCACCCTGCAATAGAAAAACATTAACAAAATAAGCTGCTTGGCGGTGTAAACAAATGAGACTTATATATATATAAGTATAACTTATATATATTTTTTATTTTTTATTTCAATGTCTATCTCTCCAAAACCAATGACTTTTAAAAATAACTCTACCCCTCTAACCCACCACTTCAACTGAAAAGAAACTAACAAAATTATTAAGAAATTAAAAATTCCGCCTTTTCAAGTTTCCCAAACTTGTCTTTGGCGAATGAACATTGTGCCAAGCCATAATAAAAAATACCTGTAATCAAAATGGCGGAAATTCAATAATTGCGACTAAATAATTTAAAGATAAAACAAAAATATGCTTTTTAAATCATTCAATACTGGACAGTACTGCAGTATAGTTAAAAAAGAAATCGCTTGAATTGTTTGAGTGGGCATTAAACTACGTGTAAATCGGGCATAATAAACAGTAGGCCTTAATGCATGGGTTGTACTGCGGAGGTTTTCATTCAGGCACGCGAAGGGCCAATCGTACAATCTACACTCACAATCTTAGATTACACTACGCTACAAACTAACGACTTAAAGCTCACGCGAATGAATACAGTGCACATTTAATTATAAGGGATTAATTGGAATAAAATTATTGTTACGTTAATTATAATGAATATTGTAATTACTCAATCTCGAGCACTGTCGTTCACTGCTAACTACCAGCTTTGTCACAGCGTTAAGTTATCATGAAGAGATCTCTTTCAGAGATAAGCCCAACTTTGCTCACATTTTTGTACAACCATATTTTTATTTTATAGTGTTACAAGTGGAATAAACTATATTTATAATGTACTCTATAACTTTTATGTGTCTGGAATAGCAAATAACCTAGTGGATCACCTGATGGTAACAGTAGGCTGAATACATGGTCCACGATCCTACCATCACGTACACATATGGCGCTAGTAATCTTCATGCATAGCTATTTCGGTCAACTAAAATATCGCAGACGATTTTGTACTATTAGATATAGTTTACCTAAGTAGACAGTACAAAAAGGTACATCTGTCTGATTTATCAAGGAAGTCACAGAATATTAATGGTCTTAAAAATATGAATAGGTAATTAGAAATGAGATACTTGTAAATATCGCCAGTGAACAGTTGAACATATTGAATTTCAAATATTGTTATTACTGCATACAGTTTATTAAAAGCTAATTGTAAAGTTTCGCATTTAGTATACCTTATTAAGAACTCAAAAATTACTGGTCTAAGTAAGAATAGGTCTTAATGGTGACAATAATATTAAAATCCAGTTAAGAAAAAAAATCATTACAATTAGTAATAATATTAATTGACTAGTAAATAGTAATAAAAATTAGAACTACCCAATCTTGCTCAGATTTGACTTATGAAATATAGTCCAATTCTCACATTACTTTTGTATACTTTGAAAAACCTGCACTATTATTTAGTATAGTAGCAATAACAGCGGTCAAGCATCACGCACGGTTTTGAATCACAGGATACGTTAAATATAGCCCAAATTATGAACGACTACTACCACAAGAAACTTACATTTTCAACCTACTTCAAAAAAGGGTGGAATTTCATATATCTTACTAATATTGTAGACCCGAAAGTTTAAGTTTGTGAGTATGGATGGATGTTTGTTACTCTTTCACGCAAAAACTACTGAACGAATTTTGATGAAACTACAGTAATATAGCTTATAAGGGGAAAGGGAACTGTTAGTGATATGGATTGATAACCCCATTGCTAGCAACGTACCATGTCAGGTCGACCTCCACGCGGTTCCCCCTGGAAACCATCGTGTTAATTCCTGGTGAATTTGCTACGGGCTAACTGACCTGACCTCATGCTCATCTTATCATCCTCCACTGGTGCCCCGCCAGCGTAAACCGTTAGCGCAAGCGGATGTACCATTCCACCCTCAAAAAAAAATATAGCTTATATATCAGAATATAAACATATAAACATATAGGCTATAATTTGAAAAGATATTATGTAAATTGGACATATAATGTTTGTAATGCAGAGGACGTTGCGCGGGTCAGCTAGTCTACTATATAAATAAATAGGCGGGAAGGGGCTTGTTAATAATGTGGACTAATAACGACAATAGTAATGTACCATGTCAGGTTGACTTCCACGTGGTTCCCCCTGGAAATCAATTCATGGTGAATTTACCAGATGGGCTTACTGACCTGACCTCATATTAATCTTAACTGATATAAATACATAAATACATTGTCCCGTCTATATTACGCCACTAAAGAACAGGACATTCTCGATTATATCCGTACCAAGAGCAACCTGACATGGGTGACGCAGCTGGAGTCGAGCCACAACGCGAGTTTCAAGGCGTTTGTGGCCCGGGTCCCCACCAACATACTGCACACCTTCATGAAGGAAGACTACTGGCCGAAGGTTTTGGTGGACCGGCGCTACCGTGGTAGATTGCCGCCATCAGTGCCGTGATCACACAGACAATTTCAATATCTTAATTTTATATTATTTCATATGTATGTTAGTCTATAAAGTATATTTAAT